GTAAATATATACGTTGTAGGCATGTATTACTTAGTAAAATCATTAGTTAATTCCCAATAGTTTAGAAGTTTTAATTAACGTTTACAGCCAAATCAGTAAATTTTGAATTATTTCATGCATAATTTCAATTGATCCCAATCTTTACAACTTTAAAATCTTAACTAATTATGATCCATATACGATAAACGTTAGGTTAATTATTCTATTCTACGAATATTAGCTGCAACTTGAGGAAATTGTACTCACTCCGAGTGAAATATTCTTTTTCTAAAATTGTTATATATTAATTTATTTAGTAATATTATAATTTATTTAACTTAACCTTTCGCTAATGTATTTTGTATTTATGGTCACGATAAGATTTTTAAAATAATTGACGTTGTACACTGCTATGGCGTCACTCTCAGTAACAGTCTTGTTGGCATCTTCTAATACTTTATTAAAAAAGTCGATCCATTTGTCCTTCGTTAAAATGAAATTTCCAATAAGTGAATAATTTAACATTTATTATAATTGTAATTAACTTACAAATGTGGTTCTTTTGCCGAATTCTTTAATAGTCATTATTTCTAGTGAACCGTAAGGATCAGTTTCGTCTTCCTGTCAAACAATTAACAGAAAATTAAAATTGATTATAGTTTCCTCATTTAATTACTTCTTTCTTGTATTAAAGAATGATAGCTTTAAAAATTATTTAAAATAGTTGGGCATAGTCGAAAATTTCTCAGATAATCTCGAATTTCTTAATACAGATCAATTTTTGTTCCGGATGGAACTGATCCTCTAAAAAGTCTCAAAGTTGCTAAAGCCATAGTCTTAATTTATAATAAGTAGGTTTTCTTAAAAACTCTTTCCACCCTGTGGGTACTAAGAGGGCCTCTTTTAGCAAGCCAGTTATAGGTTCGGCCAAGCCTACAATGGGGCGGCCGGATGGTGAGGGACGGGGTCTGATATATCTAATTGGACCACACCTTGAAAAATTCCTGGAAACTTTTCGACCCGTCCGGATAGCTACCGCTCCGGGTCCCCCAGAGCGGTAGCTACCACCTTGACCGCTCAGCCATCCGGCCGTCGATGTCAAATGCTTTGGTGGATGTGTCCTCTGCAAAAATGTGGTTCGATCACCGTCAGCCTTCAACTTCTGGAGATGAGTGGTTGTATATCTAGCTGTGTGACTAGACGCTTTATCATGGTGAAGAGTCACTTTGATTTCTTCTCCAGGATACAACTTTGGAAGCTCATATTTCAAATATGGTTTCAAAATGTTCTCCACATAGTACTTAGCGTTAACTTTCACAGTTTTTGGCACTTTGATATGAGGAAGTGTTCCCTGGCCCGTCATTCCTCCAACAATTACAAATCTTTCAGGCCATCTTTCGTGACATTTGACAAGCCTCTGTAATACGCTTCTTGTCTAGTCTTGTATTCAATTTCACGAGCTCTATGATGGCTTTTCTCTGCCGCTAGACTTATTACACCATCCTAGTATGATAAGTCTAGCGGAAAAGAAAAGCCGTCATAGAGCTCGTGAAATTGAATTTGACAAGTCATTCTTCTGGCACATCGTGCTGCACATACAGAATTTTTCGAGTTTCATTGCAGTAATCAAGGTATATGTATATACGCTTTATCTAGAGTGGCCATGTACTCACTTTCTACTCCAGCCAGATGCATCTCGTAGAGCTTCTTTGCTTTAGTCTTCCTGTTCTGTTTGTGTGAAGATGTGAGGCGATGTCCAGATGCTTTTTTTCTTGGTAGCTACTTGCAGATCTTTATGTATAATGGTGTTAACTGTGAACTGAGATGTACCCAGACGTTTTGCTACGGTCTATGGCAAGGTGGATTTTCTTTTCTACTTATTTCCTTAACTTTCCTTATTTTATCCTTACTTCGAGATTTGCGAGCCCTTGGAAATATTGGGTGTAACTCACCAGGACTCGCTTGTTGCTTTTTCGTTTTGTTACTAAGAACTCCTGGGGAACTTCAATTCCATTCTTCTCGAGGGCTTTTACGACAGCACGAGATGAAAAACCTTCTTCGGAAAGAAGCTTGATGTGCACGTCAACTTCGCTCGCAACTGCTGCCTCCATTTTTAGAACAATCGAACTCAAAAGTTCTTAGAATTCAAAGAAAAGCAACACCTACCGGTTTTCAAAATTTGATTTATATTCGACAAGTAGAACGAAAGATATACGATCGTAAATTTGAGTCATAATTAGCAAATCACCTTCTATATACGCCATCGAAATAAAATAATGAGAAAGTGTAATTTACACTCACAAAATTTCTTGCTTCGTGCAATTGTTCTAATTCTTCGATTTCAAAAGCGGTGAGATAGGCGGAAGGATATGATGTCAAACCTATTATCGTTTGATTTGTGACGTCATCTGACGGAACACGTTTAATCTGTAAGCACATTATTATTTAAAAGTTTACTATCAAAATCCAATTTTTAAGCGTAGTTTTTTCAGGGGCGGCCCTACATAAAAGCAAAAAAGAAAAAATCGCGGCACTTAGGACCTCCCTTATAAGGGCCTACAAATATTATAGTATATTTTAGTATTTAAATAAAGAAATTAGTAATTATTGAAAATATAATTGTTTTGGTATCTGTTTCATCTGCATAAGAATCGTTTTCAAAGTTAAAATTAATCAAAAAATATCTCCAATCAACAATGTGTCAAGAGGGACTTTCTTTACTTTCGATCTTGTCGATTGAAAGAAATTTTGCTTCAAAACTGGATTTTTCCATGTGATTGATGAATTTAGAGCTGTTAAAAGAAGAAACAAGTTTTATAGAAGAATTTCTATACCTATTCAATAATCCAATTCATTGTAAAATATTTTTATTACTTCGTTGCGTATTTTACTATTTCTATATTAAAAATGTTTATACTATAGTATTGTACTCCTAAATAAACATATGCTATATCTCCATCTGTCTTTTAATAAAAATAAATTTTACCTAGGGCATCTCAAATTCTAGGGCCGCCTCTGAGTTTTATTGAAATGTCGTCTTAAGTATTTTAAATAATATAATTGAAAAAATATTTAATTAAATCATATGTTAATTGTAACCATTAATATATTTTCAGCTTTATTTTTGCCGTTTAAAGTTACTCCCACTTCAAAAAGGCCATGTTTGGATAACTTAGTTACTGATGCCACCGCACTGAATAGAAATCCGGTTTCCTTCCAATTTCTCAATATGGGCCATCCCCCAAATTCCTTTATCATGTAAGATATCATATTTTTCTCATTCCTTTTATCTGAAAATAAACTTTAATCTATCTAAATTTATTGTAACTTATGTTAGAAGTCATTAAACTTACATGGATAAAGACAGAATTGATAATAATTTAAGGCCTTTCGAGAAATTGATGCTGTCAAATTCATCATTTTTTTATTAAATATGTCTGAAAGAGAAAATTGTAATGTGCTATAAAGATTTAATTTTAAATGTAAATTAAGATAATAAATTTACTTATTAAAACATTATCTATTTTCCGCTGTTTTTCTATTATCTTATTGGAAATTATTCCTTGTTTCCATGAATTTTTCTGTTTTTGACCACAAACAAAGGAATAAAAGTCTTCACATGGGTCAATAGATTCGTCAATCCAAAGCAAAATGTCAATTGCTGTTAATTTTAATAAGTTTAAAATGTTTTGAATTTAGAAACGTCATCAAAATTTTAATTAATTAAATTATTTGCATTATTTTTTTGATACAAACCAGCATCCACGCAAGAAGCAGAAATACATGGTAATGAGGAACCTGTAATAAAAGTTAATTAATTTCTTGTTTTATTATTTTAATAGAAATTCATTATATATTTACTTTTCGTTTTCTGATAAATCATAAATGATCCGAAGACGAATATAATGATGATAAGCACTAAAATACAATACATAAATATACGAATACTCGTTCCTTCAGTGTATATTTGTTTTCCTTTCACTCTAAAGAAATTAAATATAAACACATATTATGAGCATAAGAATATATAAATAAGCACGTCATACACACACACGCACACACATATATTTTCTCTTAATTCCCACCAGTGGCCGTTCACGCTTTACCAATGGGCTGGCGAAGTGGAGTTTTCAGGCTTTTTTCACGCATGTAACACTTACATAGGAGCCAATTACTCATAGAAAGTCCTCTGGGTAGGCACTACTCCTACGCTCTTGCCCACGTGTTGCCTCGTTTCATCAACACAAAAATTCCGGATTCGCGTTCGGTTCGGAACTTTAAGAAATTTTCATGAATAGTCTGTACAGGTTCGAGGCCATGGTTACCCATGGCCTCAAAGAACACGAGAAAAAGCCAATCTTAGTGCTTGCCGAGTGGAAAGACTTACAAAACAAAAAATAATAATCATAATAATAATTTCAAGATTTTTTAGTGAACATCTTGAAATAAATATTATAGTTATAGTACATTCACAACTGTAGGAAGATTTTTTCTCATTCCCATAGGATGTATTCATTTCTATGGTATTATTGTAGTTGGAACGATTTTTAAATATATACTAAACTATAAAATATTTAATATTTAATAATTTAAATGAGAAAAAAATATTTATACTCGAAAAATAACTCCACAATTTTACACGTATTGCTATATGCAAATGGTTTTATGTCATTCGTATACTATATTTGGACATCAAGTAAAAGCATATATTTTGTAGATGATTGGATTAAATTTTGTGTCCATTTATAAGCATTTCATTCAGATTATTTTTACTAACAATTATACCTGTTCTAAGTTCTCACGAAATTCCCATAATTTGTTCTACATTGACAATGAAGCTCGTGTACTTTGCAACCTCTTCCATAGTTAGGCAGCAAAATTGATTTAAAGAACTCGAGTATACCTTTACTACGCACTTTAATGGATCCTTAAATTTTAATTAAAGTTTAATAAGAGTAATACAACACGTTTAGGATACCTAAATTGCTGATCAGTACCAGTGTAGTGAGAATTAAATGAACTGAGCCGTTAGTTATTCGCTCTTTTAATAATTTTTAATTTGCCAAGATAATTGCCCGTAACTCTCAATTCGAATTTTTAAATCACTCATATAAAGAAAATACTAGTAAAAAAGAGTGGCCTCTATGTTTTATATAAACTGTTATTTAATTTTTTTCTTATTTATTTAAATAGAAAAGGAAAAGTTCTAAACGATCCATTTATAGAATTCCACTCTCATTCGCAGTATAGAATTGCAGTAGATTATGTGTATGGCTTTCAGCTGTGGACTTCGTCTTAAGCATTGTAGCGTGTGTAACTTGCGATAAATTGGGCCGAGAGGGCAAAGGTCCAATTTATTATAACTCTGAGACTCCAGATCGAACAGGATGAGCAACTCTTAGAATTGTTCGGGTCTTTCATCACCCGGCCGCCTCATTTTGGGCTTGCCAAAAAGGCCTTCTTAGTCCCTTCAGAGGAGAGTTAAAAATGTAAATATTGTGTGTATATATATAATATACTAGCAGACCCCGCCACGCGTTGTTGTGGCTCAAAATGTATCTGTTATATATGTAAAACACATCCCTCGTGAAGGGGGGAAATTTTTCGAAAAATTTCTTCTTAGTGCACATTCTCTTGACATACCTTATTAAAACGCAATCAAAAACGAAAAACCCGCATGTAAAATAATATAATAGAAGCCAAGTTTTTCACAATAAGCCTTAATTCTGTCCCTCTCCCCCGTGGGGGGAATATCGAAAAATCCCTTCTTAGTGTACATTCTGTTGACGTACCCTATTAAAATGCAATCAAAAACGCAAAAACCGCATCTAAAATAGTATAAATAGAAGCAGTTCTTTACGGTAAGCCTTAACCCTAACCATCTCCCTTCAGTGGGGGGAATTTCGACAGGTATATTATATAAAAACACGTGCGTATTCGAATGCAGCGTTGTCAAAATTTCAAAGGAATCGGTAGGAACAAACGAACATTACATTTTTATTTATATAGATAGATAGATAGATGATCCGCTTTAGTTCATTTTCACAGAAAAGCAAACTTAGAGTGTCGTACTCGTAGCGCCATCTGTTGCACATAAAAGCCTTAACCTAGATGATATCTTTTAATTTATATGAATGTTTAACGGAATAATATACAGCCTATGTCCACCCTGAAGCTCCATTCTAAATATTGGTGAAAGAATTTTTGAAATCGGATGAATACTTTCGGACATTACCTGCTATATCCAAACTTACTTACTTACTTCATACATACATACATACATACATACATACGAACATTACCTCTTTATAATACAGTTGTCCCTCTATAGTCCGACGTTTTTTAATCCGACATGCTCAGTAGTCCGACGCACCTCCCGTCAAGGTACCCGTCCCCGTTAAGGCTGGTATACACGGTAAGGAAATCCTTTGAGGATTAACCGTGATTTTTTTTCTATCTATCCATTTTTAAATAAAAATAATTCTTTATACGTTGGGAGATATACGTGTCTGCTTGCACAGAAGCATATCGCGATGTGAATCTCCCCATCCAATTTTTACACGATGACACACATTTCGTGTGTTTTATGTGAGCAGTTCTGTTCGAACAGTTGGAGTAGAGAATATTGTAAGTTACTGCTAGCAAAACAATGCGAAATATGTAATTATTTTCGGTAATCCGGACACTTTTGGTAATCTGACACACCTTTGGTCCCATACCTGTCGGATTATCAAG